AATTCTGAACTGAAAAGTTATAATACTTCAAGCAATTTTCAAGAATCTGGAGTCAAATTCCTTGCACAGTTTTAAGGCTCATGGAATTTTATTAACATTTCTAAGGACCTCATTCCACGGGAAAAAAAATCTATGAGAGCAAAATCAAGTGCAATCTGCGTTCATGGTAGTTCTGAGGAATTTTAGATTCCATGTGCAGCCTGAGATAGCTGGAATAGAATTTCAAAAAAACCTGGAATTGAATTCAAACTAAATTTTAATGAAAACTCATTTCTCCTCCTGTGAACTTCAGAGAAAAATTCCAAGGGCATTCTGAGGATAATTTCATGAAGTTTGTGAAAGACAACAAAAGCGGAGCATATATAAGTCATCGTATTTTTTTGGTTAATGCTTAGGGGGTGAAGGGGAAGCTAAAAGGAGGATTACAATTAAACCAGGATCTCAAAGAAATTCGGAAAATAATTCCAGGACCGATTGCCAAACAAATTAAGGGGGGAAATTTAAGGAATTTGTGAGGATAAATGAAAATGGATTCTTGGGAGACTATCAATGTGAGTAGAATTCCAAGGGAAGGTGTGGATTTAACAGGAAATCTGAAATGAATTCAATGAAAATTCAGAGAATCTTTCCATAGGATTTCTTACTGAGGAGAATTTCATGGTAATTCTTAGGAAATAAAAAGAAAATTTGAGGAATATTTCAATTGCGATAAGTATTTAAACTATATTCTTGTGATATTTTTTAGAGAATTCACAATTCAGAGAAGCGTTCCAAGTGAATTTCTGAAATAATTCCATTACAGTTTCGGGAGAATACGAGCGAGTGCTGAGGAGAACTCCAAGCGAATTTTTATGAGAAATCTCTGTTGAATATGGAATGGACTATTCTAAGGTCTTCAGCACTACTTGAAAGTCCCCAAAATATTCCTAAAGTTAACGAAACTGCCTTGAAGTTCTTTTGTAGTTTGAGGAACTAGTCTGATGCTCGCAATACTTCTCATTAATTTTATTTAACTTCTCTAAGCTTTTTAAGACTTCCTAAAGCTTCCACAATTTTCCTAACGATCATGAATCTTCTCTTAAGTTTTAACAATTCACTGAAATGCTCTGCTTTGAGGATATCTGTTCTTTCTTGAAGTTTTTTTAGAGCTTTATTAGCGAGATTAATATCTTTCTTGTAGTTCTCGAATCGTCTCTAAAGTGTTTACAGTTCTCATGAAGCTTGTTGTACTACCCTGAATTTAATTGAACTGTCTTAAAAATGTGAAAACCTCGATAATTTTCTTAAAATCTCAAGTTTTCTGAAAATCTGGGAACTTCTTGAAGTTTCCCGCTAATGGAACTGAACTTCTCTGAAATTTCCCTTGTTTTTGAGCTTTACTGATCTTATTTGAAATGCTCCCAAAATGTCCATAAAAGTTCCTTAAGTTCTCGTATTTTTCCTTAAATTCCATAGACTTTTATGAACTTCTCGAAATGTGTCTGAAGATCTCTGTACTTCTGTGAAGTTTTCGAAATAATTCTGAAATTTCAGGAACTTCTTTATGCTCCCGCAACGAAATAATTAATAAGGTTCTATGATTTTCACTGAAGTTCTCAAGATTTGTCTGAAGTTCAAATTATCGAAACTGATTTATAATATCTTTAATAGTCTATAGATGTTTTCTATGCTTACTTACACACTTATTTTTTTTTCTACCGAACTCGGCTGTGCAAATCTCGGCAAAAAAAGTTTTACTGAGATCTCAGCAAACATTTCATTTGTTTGCTGAGATTCAGCTAAGCATTATCCGAGATTCAGTAATCAAATGTCACTTTTGCTGAGATCTCAGTGAAACGTTTTTGCCGAGATTTGCACAGCCGATTTCGGTAGAAAAAAAACTAAGTGTGTACCTTAATTTTTCTTAATTGATCACATGTTTCGGTAAATTTTCAACAATTAAACAATCGAAAACTTCTAAATTTTGTAGAGAACGGAATTTTTTGAAAATATCGGTGCTTGCTGAAAAATTTTGTTTTTTTTTTACGTATTCTCGGCAACCTTAGCAGCGGCCTTTTTTCTATAGCCTTTTTCTCTAAGGAACGCACACATATGTAGTATTGGTTTGTTTACAATCTTTTGCTGCCAGCTGCTCTAACAATTTCAGTCGAAAGAATTGTCAAAAACTGTTTTGAAACTCTTTTACAAAGCTCCAATCTTCTCTAGTGAGAGCGAGTATTGCCGGCAACCAGTTTTTCTTCGGCAACCGTTCCATTTGACCTGCATGTTAATCTGCTGTTCTATTATCGGCAACTCGAAATCAGCTACAATTTGTAGTGCGTGTGTTTCATTTCAAGAAAACCCTGCTAGATTGCTTTTTCTCAGTGGTAAAAATATAGTCAAATTGAAGCTGAAAGCATAAAGAATCGTTTGCATGCATTCAGCGAAGTGTTTTCGTAAGAAAATCCAGTGAAAATAGTGTTTCAATTTGTGTTGCCGAAGCCGAAGCCGTCATTTCCCCTACTCTCAGATTTTGTTTTTGGATGTTCATATAATTTTTATTGCATTCTAGAAATTTTCTATGAGTAAACCGAAGATTCCGGAAATTCCCTTAGTTTCTTTAAATTTCTTTTAAGGTTCTGCGATTTTCTTGAATTGCCCTTTAATTCACTGATCTGTCTTGATGTTCTCGAAGTTTTTCTTAAGCTCTCAATTCTAATGAAGATCACGGTTCTGCTTTAAAATAAATGGAATTCTTGTGAGCACATTTAAACTTCCCTGGAATTCTCTGGATTTCTGTGAAGTTCCTGAAATATTTCTGAAATTTTTATAAATTTTCTGAAGGTTTCTGTACTGAAGTTCTCGGAACATCTTAAGGGTCCTCGATTTTATTTCAGCACGTCATGGAATTATCCTGAATTTGTCTAAACTCACGCTTAAAGATTTTTAAGCCAATCCATTTGTCTGGGCTAAAGTCTCGGGGACTTCCCCTTAAGATCTCTGAAATTCCTCAAAGATCTCTAGATCTAGATTTTCTGAGATAAATAGAACTTCTTAAAAGTTTCCACAATTTTGCTAGTATGAAACTTCGAGACATTAAAAATGTTGTTTTTTTTTAATAATTACTTTATTTGTACAGGCTCAATCAAATAAACTTTACAGAGCCGAGTTATCATTTTTGTTATACATTATTACTAAAAATGTTGTGATCATAGACTTACTAAAATGAAGTAAAGCTGTTTCTTTAAAACAGATTGTCATGTCTTAAAAACGTTTGCGTTAATTGTTGTTGTTGTTTTACAAAAAAGGCATATTTTAACGCATTTCATAAATAGCTTTCTTATTATAAACCTACAAAATAGCCGTCAAAGATATGGAAAAACCTGGAAAACTCAGGGAACTTTATTTAGCCAAATGAGTGAGGGTGTAGATAGAGAAAGACGATTAAACGTCAAAAAACTCTATACCTGGTCGTCAACTTCGAATTGTTGAACAATTAGAAAAAAAAAATCACGTAAATGTTTACAATAGTGGCAGATTACAAGAAAAAGTTACTTTAGTGACTTGGCCTTAAAAAAGGAGACTTTTTAGTGACTGGCTTGAAAAAAGTGACCAAGTCACTAAAAAGTGACTCGCTACCAGCCCTGATATTAGTTCTTTCTGGAAATTTGTTCATGAAATAACACAGAGTTCATTTCAGAATTCTTCTAAACTAAATTTGAAATTCTTTCTGGAAGTCCCTTGATTTTTTTTTATAACAGTCCAGAAATTGTCTGTAGAACACTCAAAAAAATTCTTAAAAATGCATCCTTAGATTCTCTTTGAATTTTAAGCTGGAGCTTCAATTGTTTTGAAGATTCTCGACCAACCAATTGAAAATGGTCTATTTGGGTTAAATTCTCCCGCAGAGAATTGTCTTCAAATTTTGCACCGAATTATCTTAGAGTTCTCTCTAAATTGGATTGATTAACTTCGAAAAATATACCGATTTTTATACATCATCTGATTTATCGATCCCGTAGACATTCATGTCGATTTTTAAATCAAGATTTGAATTTTTGATTGTTGACACTAAATCTATTCGTTGACAGCTCGCTCCCATACAACTTTTGGATTTTGGTTCCGTTATTAATGCAAATAACGAATATGTATTTACCTCAATACCCCTAAAAAACCTAATTATTATGGAAATTGCATGGGATTCTCATTTAAATTCTCTATAAATTCCATTCGAAATGCGCTAGGAATTATCTTCGGAACTTCCTTATAGATCTTGGCAGAATTATTTTGGAACTGTCGCTCAAAATTCTCTACCCTTTTTTATTCACGAATCCTAGAATCCTCTTCACTCTTGGCAGTTCTAGTAAAAACTCTATTAGATATTTTCAGGAGTCAATCCTTTTTAAAAGTTATCTGATCATAGAAACGCTTTCGTCGTGGTTTCAAGGAGTTTTGGATCCTGATGAATATAGGCGTCTATTCTTTATTTCCTTATACGAGTTTTTGAAGAAAAAACTCAAACTACGCGATTTTTTCCATTTAAATTTGTAGGCGAGACTGCAACGAACTCATGAGAATATTTTGCATAATGCTAGAAAATCCAGAGAGTCCCTTCGACTGTCATAGAAATATTGAAACTCTTCACGAAGATGTCCTATAATTTAGAGCTGATAATCAATAAAGTGTATTCCTCGTGTAATGGATGTGCCATACTCTATACATGTGTTGGAATGACAATATGCAACATAGGACAACATTATGAACATATCTTACAATGAACGTGAGCGAATGTACGGAAAAGCTTATCCATGAATGACATCATAAAAGATCGTACGGAGAAAAGAGAAAACCAAAAAAAAACTCAGTATACAGCTTCCTACCTATAGCAAACCGAAACCCGGTAATCGGATCCGCTACTCGTGTGTGTACACACGCGGTGTACACGGCTCTAATCGTAATCGTAAGAAACCAACCAACGTAAACAAAATCGATCGAAACATTAATACTGCCAATCCAATTACCTTTCAGTCGGTCCAGACGATGGTATGTTGTTATCCATTTAAAAAGGCAGCAGGCTAAACAGGGGGCAGGAGCTCTAAATCCGGTTTCCGAATAAGGTAGAATTCTGCGATTGCCCGTGCCCGTGTTTCTGCACGAAGGCGAAATCGGTCCAATCAGTTGTAGTAGTAGTTGGTAGGATATTCCAGAATTGACGACAGTGTAATTAAGATCGATATGTGCGATGACATATGCAGCCAAATACACTTTGGGTTGTCTTCTTCTCTTGGGTTATATACTTGGGTACTTTGCACACTTAAAACACGCCACTTTCCGAGAGGAGGGGGTTTAATACAACGGGGAAAACCCCCAAACCCGATAAAACTTTGAGGCACAAGAAACTCTTTTCGATTTATTTTTTATTCCTTCACCGCGCGTACACACTAATAACTCTGGCAGACTGCTCACTTTTTCCTTCCACTCAATACACGTTACGATTTCGCTGTGTAAATCTTCTCCAGTGCTGCTGCGGCTGCAGCGAGACAGCCAGCCAGCGGTGGGGCAAACAACACACGGATACACACTACAATTTTTTTTCCTACATCTCTTTCTTCATATTTTTTCACATCTTACTCATTTAGCTCATTTGCTCGCACAACATTTTTTTTTTCTTCCTTCATATAAATTTTGCTTATATTCGATATCTCTTCACTCGATTTCCACCTGGTGGGGGCTAATTGTGCGGGGAATTAGTCGTCGGAAAATTTCACTTTGTGGTCTACATTTTCTCCTCCATCGAACTCAACATCCGGACGACGATGACGGGGACCAACGAGGGTGCGATAATCCGTCAACGTATTCACTTGCTTCCGCTAATCCGTAAAGGGACGATGTTTCACAAATAGCATTAAAAATTCAACTTTCTTCTTGGAATCGCTACGGAGAGGACCCTCCCGCCGCAGTGGCTGGGTTTGGAGGGGTGAGGGTGGAAAACCCTTTTTTTTTCTTCAATTTCTCTGACGAAATTCCAATCTTGAATCTCTCACTGTTAAAGCAAATCACACTCACTACTTCTTCACACTCGATACGACGACGACGACGACGACAACAACTAGACGTTTCATGGATCGCGATGGACTGACTGAGGAGACTCGTCGAGCTCGCTCCACACGCATTCACCGATGGATGATGGAAGGCACAAGCATTGCGCTCTGCTCTACCATCTTTCCACCAATACACGACAGCTCCTACGTACGATCAGCATTGTCACATTCATTGTTGTTGTTGTTGTTATACAATGGTCGTCGTGATACCATGATCACTTGCTGCACGCACACTCTTCGCCAAAGCCAAAACACACATCCACACCGCACCGAGAAAATAATTTCCTTTTTTCCTTGCCTGGCTGCTGATGATGGAGTTTTCGTCGGTGTTTATCTGTTTACACGGAAATAAACATCACAGAACTACTCACACATGTATCTAGCTGCGTGCGGCGGAGCGGACCACAATCTCGGAAAACATCATCATCACTCGGACGGCTGTTGTAGTCATCATCCTGCTTGCTGTTGCTGCTATTATAGCGGTCTTTTCTCTGTCTGGTTGATGGAACGGCCTGCTGCTACCATGGATGCTGTTGGTTTATCTACATTGGTAGGAGAGAAAAAAAAGCACAACGTCAGGTTCACGATGAGTGGGTCCATTTTTGGGAGACTGACTGCAGCAAAATGATTTTTTTTTCGGAAATGGAGAACAGATAGTTTATTATATGATGTTATCCAAAGTCGGTACTCTATTTCAAAAATAAAACTTCCTGACACAGTTCGGGCTCAACTATCCAGAATAATCGAATTTAAAAAGACTGAAAAATTTTGCCAAAGACAGCAACCTTCTATCTAGTCGAGGTGTTATGTTAAAGCAATTAGAAGTTAAATGGTAAGCTATAATAGTCGTCTGGTAAGAGAACTCTGAACTAAACTGTTCATCATTCAATAGTTCCGGTCAGTGCCGTATTAACGATAGGGCAATGGTGAGCTGAAGCCAGGGCCCCCAATTTGGAAGGGGCCCCCGGCTCAGGGACACCAATCATATCCTTCTCAATAATATATTTCAAGAAATTAATCGTTGGTTAGTTTTTGTATCGAACACTAAAGCGTTGAAAACTTGAAACAATATCCGCTTTCGACTTTCGCTCTTACCGTTCCCACCTTAGAATGTATCCGGAGCAAATTTTGATTAGGGCGAATCTAGCAATATGTAAACAAATCTCGATTACTTTTTCGAAGGGACGTATCTACTTTTCTAAACAATTTATTTGTTTCGGTTTGGTGTAACTGGTAGCTTGCCCCGCATACTAACACTACTATCAGGTAGGGGAAAATTTCCCCTATATGATGGTAGTCTTAGCATGCGTGGGCGAGCTACCAGTTACGCCTAATCAACGATCAAATGCATTGTTTACAAAATCTGATACGTCCCTTCGAACAAGTAATGAGTTGTGGGTATTTGTTAGTAGATATTGGCATGCTCCGTCTGTTTGTTCAAAATATCTGCATGTTTACATTTTGCTAGGTTCACCCTAATCACAATTTACCCCGGATATCTAATAGCGAATTTGTTTATTATCAGTGTGAAACCGAACATTTTGTCAGTGCGAACCTCAACCTGCGGTAGGTTTTAAAAGCAAACGATCAAACTGACGTTTGTTAGAAAAGAAGCAGAGCCGATCTTGATATCCGATCCAGGTTGGAACTGAATAATAAAAAAAATCTCTATAAGGCTTGGCTTCAATGACACTTCTTTGGATGTTCACTTTTGACTTCTTTGATCTCATGCTTCCAGCTGATCATGTTTACATAACAAACTCAGCTGGGAAATTTATTTGCGCTGAAATGGTAAGAGTTCTAAAAGCCACAGAAGATTTTGGCAGCTTCCACATTTCGTCAAAAAAGTCTTAATAATATTCATAGAAAACGCAATAACATAAAAATAAATTAAGAGCTTTGAGTGTGTTGGTTTATTTTCTTTTAATTCCGTTATAGTTGTTTATCTTTTGACAGACATAAAAATTAATTAAGAGCTTTGAGTGTTTTGGTTCATTTTCTTTTAATTCCGTTATAATTGTTTATCTTTTGACAGACAAATAAAAATAAAAACTCTCACATATTCTGTCAGATTACAGAAGAACATTAGGTACCGCGGCCAAAATATTACGGTCTTCGACAAAGTTGCTCGGTTTACAAAGCACCGGTTTTTTTTAAGGTTTCTGTTTAGTTAGCTCTATTTAAAAGATAAAACCGAGTGCATTCTAGGTGGTGGGAACTAGAATACACTCAATTTTATCTTTTAAATAGAGCGTCCTAGGAAGAGGGTCTCTTGATTAAAGTTGTGCATTGCATAATATTAAGTACGCCAGATTACCCATCATAGGTCTAAATTCTTCATTATTGATGATTTTAATGCAAAACACCGCTCATGGAATAATGCTCAAAGAAATTCCAATAGTAATATTGATGGTTATTCCGAGAGTCGAAGTGACTTTTGTCACTAGTGAAGTGAGAAAAGTCACGTCGTGGTGACGTGACTCTCCATTTGATTTGCACAGAGAGTCACGTCACCACGACGTGACTTTTCTCACTTCACTAGTGACAAATGTCACTTCGACTCTCGGAATAACCCCCATTCTGTTTGATTATTGTTCTGCAGGTTATCACATTATACAATATCCAAACAGCCCAACATGCGTTTCGTCAACAAGAAATCCCTCAATTATTGATTTGGTCTTAACTGATTCATGTCAACTTTGTAGCCAATTGGTTACTCATACTGACTTCGGTTCTGATCACCTTTCAGTAACTTTTGAGACTTCCCAAGAAATAATTTTGGAGCAATATCGAAAATTTATGGAATATAACTTCAAATATTTCTTTGCAATCCAAAGATGATGTTAATTATGCTCTTGAAACTCTACTAGTTCTATAGTTGAAGCAAGAGCTGCCTCAATACCAAAATGCGAGGTTAAATTCGATTCAATTATAATAGACGACGATCTTCAGCTCTTGATCCGTCTGAAAAATGTCCGTAGGAGGCAATATCAAAGAACACGCGATCCTGCCATGAAAATTTATCTGGCGGAAACTGCAAAAACAAATTGAAAATAGATTATCTGTCCTGAGAAACAAAACTTTTGAAAATAATGTTTCGAAATTAGACCCGAGTTCGAAACCCTTTTGGAAGCTCACATATTTTTTGAAAAAAAAAACCCAAAGCCTTTTTCACTGCTATTTGCATTCACTCTGCAATGCTCATCAAATTATTATTAATTATTGCTGAAAATTCACTTAGAGTTCACCTCATCATGCACTTAATATTATCCTGAAATTCATATGGAATTATCTTAGGAATATGTTTTAGTTCTGCTAGGTAATCCCAACAAAAAATTGAAAATCTGCTCTCTTAATAATTATCGAAAAAAATCACCGGAATATCCTTGGAATATCCTCGAATTCCCCTTGAAATTTTCCTCAGAATTTTTAAGGAATATTCCGAAGAAATCCTTTGGTATTATTCTCAGAATTTTCATTGAATATATTTTTGAATTACCCTTCAATCTTGCAATTTCCCTTGGAATTCAACTCACAATTATGAAATTATTACCTAACAAATTACTTACAATTCTCATAACAAATCCCGTAGATTTCTCCTTGTGAGATTGGATTTTTTTTACTGAATTCATTTGAGATTCTATAGGAATTATACTCAGATTTAATTGCAATCCTGAATCTTCTTGACATTATTCTCAGAATCATGCTTGGCATGCACAGTTGTACACACCAACTGGTCATTTGTTGATAACTTTTCACTCAGTTATTGAAAATTGATTTTCTTTAAAGTAATTGATAGATTACGATCATAGCTTACTATAGATATGCAAAGAGTAGGTAAATCTTAACATTTGAATCTACAATGAATTTTTACACTTAAAGTCCAAGATGTGCAGCGAGCACCTAGGTACCTATTACAAACTTAAACTTTATTCTATCTACTGCTTCAAACAGAACTATGTTTTGTCAACTGTGTGCAAAGTTATTAGCAAATGAGCAGTTCGTGACCAAAACTGTGTATAACAAGCATGCTCAGAATGACATTAGAATTCTCC